GTTCAGCTTTCTGGGCTGCAAGTGCAGACTGCCAGCTCATGTTGAGTTTTCCATCAACCATCACCCAGCCCTCTACAGGGCTGCTCTAAATCACTTCTCAGCCCAGTCTATAGGTGTGTCTGGGATTGCTGTGCCCCAGGAGTAAGACCTTGTACTGGTGGTAGTTCTCATCTTCCTTGATAAACATCTTTTCATTTGTCCCTCTTTATTTTCTTCTCCCAAAAGTACTGTGTGAGTTAAAAAAGCTTAACAAGGGCAAGTGCTGGATTCTGCACCTGGGACAGAGGAACCCTGGCTGTACCTACAGACTGGGTAATGAGATGCTGGAGAGCAGCACCATGGAAAGGGACGCGGGGGTCCTGATCGATGGCAAGCTGAACGTGAGTGTGCAGTGCTCTGTCAGCCAGAAGGGCCAACTGTGTCCTGGGGTGCATCAGGCACAACACCACTGGTAAGGGAGGGGTTTGTCTGCTCTACTCTGGTATGGCTTCACCTCAAGTGCTGGGGGCAGTTTGGGCATCACAATATAAGAAGGATATAAAGCTATTCACATCCAAAGGAGGGACATGAAGATGGTGAAGGGTCTAGCAGTGAAGCCACATGAGGAATGGCTGAGGACACTTGGCTTGTTCAGCCTGGAGGAGACTGAGGGGTGACCTCATGGCTGAATACAACTTCCTTAGGAGGGGATGTGAAGGGATAGCACTGACCTCTGCTTTCTGTGACCAGTGACAGGACCTGAGGGAATGGCCTGAAGTTGTGTCAGGGAAGGTTTAGGTTAGATATTAGGAAAAGGCTCTTCCCTCAGAGGGTGTTTGGGCACTGGAACAGCTCTCCAGGGCAGAAGTCACAGCCTCAAGTGTGGCAGAGCTCAAGAAATGCTTGGAAAATGCTCTCCAGCACCTGATGGGGTTGTTGATATTCTGTGCAGGGCCAGGAGTTAGACTCAATGAACTTTGTTTAGTCTGTCCTGAGCAGAGAGTATGTCTGCCTCTTGCAGGGAGAGCAGCTCTATAGTGCTTGTGGTCAGCTATGAGCTGTTTTGTCTGATAACAGATACGCTTGCGTAAATTTTGGTAGCTGATGTTCTCCAGACAAAAATGCAAGTACAAGGGTTGGCATTTGTGTTCTTAAGTTTCTCTGATGGGCTGGTGTGATCAAGGCATTATCTTCACTGCAAATAAAGACCCTGTACTGCTGTGACAAATACCATTCTTTAAGCTATGGCAGCATAATGAGCTATCTCATACCTGAAAGAGTTAAAAAAAATGAGACAAATATCATAGAATCATAGAATCAACCAGGTTGGAAAAGACCTCCAAGAGCATCAAGTCCAACTCTACCGTGGTTACTAGACGATGGCACTAAGTGCCACATCCAGTCTCATCTTGAAACCCTCCAGGGATGGTGAATCCACCACCTCCCTGGGCAGCACATTC